CTCTCTGCGTTCAATTTGTTCAACTTCTTTTCTTTTGGATGACTTATCTCCAGCCCTCATGGACAGTATCCATCATCAGGGCTGCACTATCACCAAGTTCCAGATTTTGCTGATTCATTTGGCCACCATGATGGTGGTTCTTTTGGGCGGGCTGTACATGAGGAGCTTCCAGCATTTGTTTCTCTCAGCATTACAAATTTCACGTAGTTCTGGATTGTCTGAGTTTGCCTGTCCATCCTGGTCCTTCAGTCACTTCAGTTATGAACATTCATCCCAAATTTGCTTTGTGGCTACTCCTTCATTCCATTGCTGCCATAGGTAACTCTGATGACAGATGTCTGGAAACTAGGTTGGGAGCTCAGTGGACAAATCACTCAGTCTAAGCTCATTGGGCGTATTGCAACTATTGGCTGCATGTAAGTGGTCTTGAGTTAATAGTATAATCAAAGCAGGCCAGACTTTCAAACCACCTGTGGGGCATAGATTCTTCAGGTTATGGGCAGCCTTGTCATGGTCTGTTAAATTGACAAACAACATGGAACAAAGTCTGCTTCCTTCATTCAGCCTTGCAGTGCTGGATGTGGTTGGATGTGATGCACTATCTCAAGGCATAATGCCAGCATGCTTGTAATCCAGACATGACTGCTGACTTCCATAGCAGTTGGATTGAGATGAAGACATTCTGGGAGACATATTTTTTCTTGCATGGACAGAACTACCTCTATAAATTATTTCTTTCCCATTTCCTCTTTTCAGAAGTGTTCTCCATAGGGTGTTTTGCACATTATCTCTATGAATCCCGGTTACCCCTTGAAGACCAAAACAAACACCTTTTCATCTTCCCTTACTCTTTCCCTTTCTTACCTCACACTTCTCACTGGAAAGGATTTGTTCTCCTGGGGCAGGAGATGGAACTCAGCCCTCCATCTCACACCTGCTTCTTCCCTATGGATCATCTTCAGACGAACTCTTGGCAATTATAGAGACTGCATATGGCCTTGTACCCAACATGCCTGTAAATAGAATTAAACTTTAGTTTATTTGAAGTTGTTTGTCCCAACTCCTATCCATTAAAAGTTGTATTTAATTTTCTGCTTTTCTCTCAAGTCTCAAGACCTTGCTGTTGCTTCCATCCATTCCATTCTAAGTGTGCCTTTTTGGTATGCATTCAATGCTCTATAGTGCTTTTTTATCCTGTCATTAAGTCTTTATCTAATTAACACCTGTTGTTAAGTTCAGACCTTTCTGACTTGGAATCTCTCATCTCTGTTTTCAAGCCCATTCAAACTCATGCATTCTGTATACTCCTCATATTGAAGGTGGCATTTCTTGTTGGCCTATATCAGCAACCCAACCTATAACTGGTTCTTTGAGTGGTCATATATGCATTCACACCAAACCCTGGAAGTGCTGCACTGGTCATGCAGAATTGAAGACAGAATGGGAGACGTACTTAGGACCAAGATGGATTGTGCTTCCCACTAAAAATGTATCCATAATAGAAAGTTCCTGATGGTGTTTCATATCATTTATATATTCAAGCTCATATATGACCACTCAGAGCCCCACAGTTAAAGGTAAGCCATCTGTTACCATCTAAACCAGATGTTTCTGTCTCCTCATTTACTTGAAATTTATCTTTTGGGAAGTCATGTGGGTCTTAGCACCAAGCCTGTGCACCCACTTGAGGCACCTCAGCCACAGTGCCTCTTCTACTTCTTGCTGGAAGACTGTGCCTCATAACAGGAGGCCAGCATGCATAGGCTGTCTGGAGCACTAAGACTTTTCCTGCTCTTTCACTTTCCTGGAAGAGGGGGGAAGTGAGATTCAGCAAGAGTACTTCGATACTGGCCAGGTTACCTTGGGCAGAGTTCAAGAAGAGGTTGGGTCTGCTGCAACTTTGACCTAAGAGCAAAGGCCATCAAAGGAGAGTCCTCAGGAGCAAGTTCTAACAGCAGGAGCCCTGTCAGCATTGTCTGGCAGTTCTGTTCATGGGGAAAGGGGGCAAATAAGCTCATTATTTTAGGGAGTCACAGCACCACAAAATTTGAGAACCCCTGACTTGGCAGAAAAGGCCAGTTTTGAGGCTGAAGAAATAAGGGTTAGGAGTCTGTGTGTGTGTGTGTGTGTGTGTGAATATTTGAAGGGTAAATCTTTTGAACTATAAGTATTCCTACCAGCAGTGTACAATTTCTGGTAGTTGTGGCAAAGCGTTGTATTCTCCCTGTGACATCTCACTGCAAGCCCTTGCCTATGGCAAGCTCTCACATGTCCAGGGGTCTGGAAATACTGTATGGGAGATGAAATTTCCCTCATGTCAAACCTTCTGGTTCCTCATTTTAAGCGTTATGCTAGAAACAGAAAACTTAACTCATATACTGGCATTATTCATAACAGTTTAAGTTTTTAAACTGTTAGATGACATTTTATGATGTAGCACATTAAGAAGCGATTAATAGGAACAAAAAACGAGCAGAGAGAGCTCCAAAGGTCATCCAGTGGAACTGCATAAAGAGGTTATTGCCGGGGGGAGTGGGTGACTGCCTTTACAGTAGTAACCTGTGCCCGTATTTCACAGTATTTCTTTACAAATAAACTCAGTATTGATTGGCATCACAGACAAAAAGTTCAGGTGTTGGAGGCTGCAGCTTTATTTGGGCGGTTGCTCTTTCCTTCCCAATAACAGAGGAGTTGACCTCAGAGTCTATAAGATCAGCTTTTCTTCCAGCATCACTTTTTAAAAGAGAGCAGTTTTAGGGATCTTGTTGTGTTGGCTTTTGATACAACAGTGAACGCAGGGCTTGCGTTTTTCTGGCAGGATGTTTAGAACACCTACATTCCTTCTTGTGAAAAGCCAAATAGGGTGTCTTCAGATGGGAGCTTAAGGTGTAGACAAAATTTCTGTTGACTAGAAAGTAAATGATGCTTCCTCCTACATGTGTAAAAACTTGAGCTATCCCTAAGTATTTATACATGGTTTTGTGTGGGTGGGTGTGTTTGTATGTTTCTCAATCAAAATATTGAATTAGAAAGTGCATTTAATAATTAATTGTCTGTCTTCAACAATTCACAGAATGGTACACAGCAGCCCTCTTTTGCTATTGCCTCTGGTTAATAGATCTTGGCAGAGAAGCAGTGATGTTGGAAGGAAAGAATAAAGAGAAGTGGGGAAACTTTCTCTCTATTGTGACAGTGCCACTCCTGTACCTGCACAAAGAAGGTGCAAGCAAAAGGCAGACAGACAGGAAGCAAATCCCCATCTCTGCATCCTGTTCTTCCTCCTATGATACTGTGTCCATCACAATATTTATTATAGAAATATCTATACCACTACACAAAATGGATTTAATAGCTATGCTGGCTGTGTTTTCCTCTCTATTCTGATTTTCTCACTAATTATCCATATGACCTTCAGACATTTGAAAAACTGAACTGCATTTTGATGGCAACATTTTGGTAGTTTCAACTGGGAAACAATTTTTGCCCCCTGCTGAAGGCAACGTTGGGATCTAGGCTTGCAAATAGTGTTGTTGGTTTGTGCACCAATCAGGTATAAGGCATTTCCTCCTTCCAGTCAGGCATAAGGCATTTCAGCTTAGTCTTTTCTCATTTTTGAATAATTGCGCCCAAGAAAAAGTGATTGGGAGCCCTTGGTTTTGAAAGTGTCTTTAGCAAGGGTATGTTGAATATGTATGTCAGGATGGATGGACGATTAGTAAGAAACTCTTCACTGATCAGACTGTTTCACTCCTGTTTATGAAAGTATACAGCAGGCCTAGGATGGTATGGCTCATTGTTAACATAGGCTAACATAGCCCAACCCCCAGGTTGATGTTCAGAAATTTGTTTTCCAAAATTTCGTAGGAAAGGGATTTGTTTGGATGAACACATCCTGCATAAGAGTTAAATCTTTATTTAACAAAATCTCATGTGAAAGAGAATACAGAAACAATGTTGGAAATGTCCCAGTACTTAATAGCTACAAGAAGCAAGTGAAAGTTCATTTTCCTAATAACCATTTTCCTATCTTCCCAAAACTGAATAGTACAAGTTTTATCATATGTAGCTTCTTTCCTGTTCTCTTCAGCCACTACATAATTATTTCGACTTTTAAGTGATTTTTGCTTTTGCTTTTCTTTTTTCTTATTCATTGATCTCTAGTAAACCTGTAATGTTCTGCAATTGCTTAATTAGTCAACATTCTGTGTTCTAATTATTACTTTGCAAGGAATGTGCAATTGACAATCTGATTTGAAGAAATTAGTTAAAAGGCATATTATCCAAAAATACTTGCTCTTTTGAACTTCATATACATTGCAGTCTTACATGGTTTTCCACATAATGCAAGATTTAACTTTAGAAATATCTTACTGTTTTTTCATTTTCCAATTAACAAATTTCAAAAAGGTTTTCCAGTCCTTGATTAGCATGACTTTTTAAAGGGATGTTCCTGGTATAATATCCATACCCAGCTAAAGATAAAATTACAAGTTTTAAATAATCTGGATCATAACTGTCTTAGATGGATTTAGTCAACTAAGAACTTTCCTGTAATTTAAAAGCTTCTTCAGCTTTTAGCATATTTAGAGATCATCTTGGCCTCCATCTAAAGGGCTTTCTTGATGTTCCAAAGAAGAAATGCCCTTGAATGAATTGTATGTGTTCTACTATTTTTCATTTTATTGAAAATAGCTTTTTAATGGCAATACAAATTGTATTGAAATTAATAAATTAAAATATTTCAATAAAAATCTGCTTGCCATCTTTTTTTCTTTATTTCTTTATGTTTTATTGTAATTTCTTTGATTGTTGTGAGCCACCCAGAGTTGTTGAGAGTTGGGCAACATAAAAGTTTAATAAATTATTATTAAAATATTATTATTATTATTATGATAATAATAATAATAATATAGTGCAATGACTAAAAAGTAGTGTTTCATAGAGGGAAGGACATTATACAGATAGAAGAAATTCAAGTTAAAGTTAAAGCCTTTGCTACTCTAAGGCAATAATAGCAAAATGGCTTTTATATAGCCATTTGCCTGTAAAGAAGTACTTTTAAGCAGCCCAGCTGACAAGTTTTTCAAAAGCTGACTCTTTTTTTTACTTGTACAAACCACAAGTGAGTAACCTGTTTATGTGGGCTGGGAAGCTACTAAAAATTTATCTGAGCCAATTAATTTGCAAGCCCGATTTGACATTTATTCTCAGAAGCGTCAGTGTTTGCAGAGAATGTGATGCTGGTCTCTGTGTAGTTACGTGATTCGCCATGGAAAGGATTTTTGTTTGATTTAGCTTGTGTGTATTATGGAGCATGGTGACAGTAAAATTAACTTAGAGGCTAAGTATTTTTTTTTAATGGTTAAAAAAAATTAGTTTACTAAAAGATGTGTTTTTGTTTCTGTATGTTTGATGCAGGTTGCAAAATAAAGGCATTGAGAGCCAAAACAAATACATACATCAAGACCCCTGTCCGTGGAGAAGAACCCATTTTTGTTGTCACTGGACGCAAAGAAGATGTAGCCATGGCCAAAAGGGAAATTCTTTCCGCCGCTGAACACTTCTCCATGATCAGAGCTTCGCGCAACAAAAATGGCCCTGCTCTGGGAGGGCTGCCTTGTAACCCCAATCTGCCAGGCCAAACCACAGTCCAGGTCAGGGTGCCTTACCGTGTCGTCGGGCTGGTGGTTGGCCCAAAAGGCGCTACAATCAAAAGAATTCAGCAGCAAACTCATACCTACATAGTTACTCCCAGTAGAGACAAAGAGCCAGTTTTTGAGGTTACCGGCATGCCTGAAAACGTAGATCGTGCCCGTGAAGAGATAGAAATGCACATTGCCATGCGCACTGGAAACTACATTGAACTAAACGAAGAAAATGATTTCCATTACAACGGTACAGATGTAAGTTTTGAAGGAGGAAACCTTGGATCTGCCTGGCTTACTTCCAACCCGGTACCACCTCCAAGTCGCACCAAGATGATTTCTAATTACAGAAATGACAGCTCCAGTTCTCTAGGAAGCGGTTCCACCGATTCCTACTTTGGAAGCAATAGGTTGGCTGACTTCAGCCCAACAAGTCCATTCAGCACTGGCAATTTTTGGTTTGGAGAGTCGTTACCTTCTGTGGGTGCAGAGGATCTAGCAGTCGACTCTCCTGCATATGATTCCTTGCCAACTCCTTCTCAGACCATCTGGACACCTTTTGAACCTGTCAACCCACTCTCCAGTTTTGGTAGTGAACCTGCTAGTAATGTGAAGGCTCCGCGGAAAGGGAGTCAGCCATCCACACCTCGCTTGTCACCTACGTTTCCTGAAACCTTGGAACATCCCTTAGCACGGAGGGTAAGAAGCGATCCCCCCAGCACAGTCAACCAGGTTGGCCTTCCAATCTATATCCCTGCCTTTTCAAATGGTACCAACAGCTACTCTTCTTCCAATGGTGGTTCCACATCTAGTTCCCCTCCAGAGTTAAGACGGAAACACGATTGCGTGATATGTTTTGAGAATGAAGTAATTGCTGCCCTGGTTCCATGTGGCCACAACCTTTTCTGCATGGAATGTGCCAACAAGATCTGTGAAAAAGAAGCACCATCGTGTCCAGTTTGCCAGACAGCTGTTACTCAGGCGATTCAAATTCACTCTTAAATATATAGAGATATTATATATGGACTTTTTAAACTCTTAATGGCTTGGATGTAATGGTACCCCCTAAGTAAACTTATAATGAACTCAGACTGTTATTGGGCTTTCTTGAGATTAGGCTAACATTGTTTGAAAAGCATGTACTCTTTTCAAAAAAGGCTTGTTCAGTTAACCTTATAGGCCTAGCCAGTCTTTCTCCATTTTGGTTGCAGCTGTGGTACCTCTAGCAAAGTCCAGGAAGGAAGCTGTGATGTTGTTGGGATGCCAGGGACTTAGATCTGTTTCGGAGCAGGAGCATACAGTGAGCATTTGCAGGCTGTCCAGATCTTGACGAAGCATTGGCGGTAATGGCGGTGAAAGTGAAGTCTCATGTAGCCCCTGAGCGTAGAAACTGTTGAGGGGGAAGGGTGCAAAGGATGATGAATGTTTCAACATACTTCCAGTGCTGCCTTCTTTACACTGCCAGTTTTTCAAAGCAGGTTTTGGGGATGCTTTTTCCCTCTTTACAACAATACAGGCTTAATTTACCTAATGTTGCAAATAATTTTACAGTGCGTCGATTGAGTTCCTGCCATTCAGCGAGTAGCCTAGTGAGAATTTTTATTAACAAGATCATTGTTCATGGAGGACAGAGGGGGCGAAACAGGATGAATTAAGCCTCTTCTCATCCAGTATGCAATTGAGGCATCTTAAGTGAATCAGGAATGTGTGGGTCTTCCATTGCTGAAGCCTGGGAAAGCCTTCTTTGTCTCAATCATTGCCAAGGGACACAGGAGCTCCAGCCACGTGCACAGAGAGCCCCCATTTGTAGCAGTTTGCTTATTTATTGGGGGGGGGCAATCTTACGTAATGCTCTGAATATGTGGATTGCCCCTATCTTCCATTGAAAGGAAGGAGACCCTCTGTGTACTAGGCGTTCATCACACAATACAAGATGCAATTCATGATGCTAAGAGCTGTGACGTTTCCGTATGGACCCCCCTCCCCACCCGTATCTGCTTCTGGCGGACCTGTGTTGGGAGGAAGGGGAAGGTGAGAGGGGTTTGCATCCGTTGTATCTGCAAACGAGGATGCTAACATTCCATTGGCTCATGTGATCAAGCTGTTCTTAAATTAACTATTTTAGAGAATATCAAGAGTATAAAAAATGTGAATCATTTTTATGTTTCAGCCACACTTGCACATTATGTGAAACTTGTCTTTTATTTTTAGTCATATAGGAGGGCAAAAGGAGTAACATCCACTTTTTTGTATCATTCATGATAAATAGCAGTGACTTAAGACCCAGCAAAATGGTTTATCTCATTTCAAAACTATACTTTCCTATCTTAAGGGGAAAAAATGAATTTCTCTGTTGATTTCTTTAACATACATTTCAGCCTATGGATGTTTCTCACTACAGTACTTCATCCTCAGAATATTCCCAAATCTGTGCTGGCATTTTTAAAAGAACACTCAGAAGTTCTGATGGATTTCTTTTTCCTTCTTCCTCCCTCTTCCTCTTTCTCCCTCTCCTTTTAAAAATTTCTCTCTGTCCCTCCTCTTATTCCCTCTCTCTTTTTTTGAGCAATATCTTCCCAAGATGAAATAATTTTTCTCAGTATAGAAAATGCTATGTGTATTGAACTAGTGAATATACAGAAATCTTTATTTTTTATTTCCACTTGAAAGAGTTACATTTCGTATAAAAAAAAAGTTTACAGATAACGGTTTTTATTTTATGATTTTTTTTCAGTATAAAAGTTGCCTTGATGGCATATTATTATTATTATTATTATTATTACATTATGAGATGCATAACTTTAACGCTAATAGCTTGTAGGATAGTTAAATGTCAGTATTGAAATCTTAATCTTTAGCTGAGTCTTGTAGATATGAACAATCTCGTTTACCAAGCATGTGTTTTGAGTATTGTTGCATTGTACACTGCAACTAATAAGCCAAGGATTCAACATTAGATGCGTGTACTGTTTCTATAAACCACAGACTTCAGAATGACAAAGCTCTCAATATGGTTTAGTATTTGCTAATTTTACTACACTCTTTTTGTTATGTATATGTAGGGAGGTCATAGGGATTATAAATTCAATTTGAGTAAAGTTTAAAAAAAGCATATATTTTATGATAAAGGGCCTTTAACTTATGATGGCCAAAGCACTGATATTATATATTTGCTGTAAAGAGAATTATAAGAGTTTTATTTTTCTGATATTAAAAAGTTACTTAATAAAGACTTGTTTCCATTAACTTGAATGTTTTCTTGATGTTGCGCTTTCCATGATGGTTTTCAAGCAAGTTTTATATGTAAAATAGTATCTAGATCACCACATTGTACTAAGATGTTATAACACAGGGGATATATAGATAATTGGGATGGGAGGTCAGAGAATCTAAAGGTGGAGGCAAATATAAATAAGAGAGACAAAGTAGAAAACTAGAAGATAAACATAAGGAGTTTCTGCCGGGTAGCAGTGGAGTGGGACTTTAGGACCAGCTTCATGCGATCTGGATGAAAGAAAAGATCAATTATTCTGGCAGTTTAAGGTGAATATTTGAGAGTGAAAGGCTAGAGACAAATGATACAGGCAAAGTGGAGGGGAAAAAAGATTACGGGCAACAGTTCCAGCTGAATTAAAGATTCTCCCAATGTGTCAGGAACTATTATGGTTTGACAACAGATTGAGGGTATGGTGGAATCAAAACCAACAGAATGTAATTGCTCAGTAGAGTATAGAGCCATGTTTCTCAAGCTTAGCAACTTGAAGATGTGTGGACTTCAACTCTTAGAATTCCCCAGCCAGCATGCTGGCTGGGGAATTCTGGGAGCTTAAGTCCACATATCTTCAAGTTGCTAAGCTTGAGAAACACTAGTATAGAGTACTGCTCAGGAAGATGAACAGTAATTGGGGGGATAATGACTTAGAGAGCCAAAATACTAGTTCAGATTTTAGTACATTGAAGTTGAGGTAGTAATGCAATAAATAGCCAAGTGGATGTATTGGACAATTGAAGATGAAAGTCTAGTTGGATTGCAGTACGCAGGTGATACAACAGGGTTTTATGAGTTTTGCTTGAGAGTGAAAGTCTTGGAAGCAATTTATTTTTCAGGAATAATGAATAAGTTGGAAAAACCTAAAGGGAGCTTCTTAGTGGCCTCCTCTGCTCCCTGTATCATGTTTCCCCAATTTCTATTTGTCTTTAATCAAAGGTTCATAAATTGTATATCACTCCATTCTGCTCTTTACTTGTTAGATTCCTACTCTTGTAGGACACCATTTTCTCTATTCCATAATGTGGTTTTTATAGAGGTGTTTTGTAGATCTAGCCAATGGTTGGTTGGTTATTTATATTAATTTATATGGGTGCCCATCTATCCATGAAACTCTGGGTGGCGAACAAAAAGAAATGTCCATTAAAACAAAAACCAACTAAAGCTGCACCAAGGCTTAATAGAAACACAAAACCCCTAGACATACACATCCATGCCAGTGCTCCCATGCTAACACCCTGACTCCAATGCCTGGGGGAAGAGTCAGGTCTCCACAACCTTTTGAAAGGCAAATACAGTAGGTGCTCTCTCTCTTTCATGGGGGAGGCAGTTCCATAGAGCAGGTGCCAAAACAGAGAAGGCACACTTCCAAGGACCTGCAAGATGACATTGTTTTATGTCATGTTTCAGCCCCCTTTGCCTAGGTAATGGTTCTTCAGTATTTCCTTCCCTACTCTCTAGAGCACAACTGGCACACAAGATGTATGTGTGTGAAAACTCTCCTGGCTACAGCTGCCACCTGCTTCTCAAGCAGGAGTTGTGAGTCCAGTAGAACCTTCAGATTGTGCACCAACTCTGGGGAAGTGTAACCCCATTCAGGGTTAATGATGGAAACTCACTAGATCTGCGGGACCTAAAACCCACAGCCATTCTGTCTTGGCAGGGTTGAGCTAAAGCCCTTTCTTCCCCATCCAGACCCACAGCATCCAGGCACTGGGAAAGCATTTCAGCAGCATCACTTGGTTGGCCCAGGGCCAAGTTGTACAACTGATATCATCAGCATACAGATATTTAATCCCATGCTGACAAATGACCTCATGCAACAGTTTCATGTAGAAGTTAAATAGGAGTGGGGAGAGAGTCAAGCCATAGTAGAAGGCTAGGGCAGGACTTCTCCCTCTGTAACAACATCAAGTGGAACCAGCCTTGGAGGAAAGAAGAAAACCACTGAAGAACAGTGTCTCCCATTCCCAATCCCCACAACCACTCCAGAAGAATACCATGGTATTGATGGCATTGAAAACCACTGAAAAATCAAGGAGGACCGTGCACTACCCCCCTCCTGAGCCCATCAGAGGTCATCAATAATAATAATCAATGCCATCTCAATGTCATTCCCCAGCTTGAACCCTGACTGCCATGTGTCCAGATAATCCTTCAGAGCCCTTTGGAGCTGCAGGCCTACCACCTTCTCAACAATCTTCCCTAAAAAGGGAAGGTTGGAGACTGGACAAAAGTCCAGAACAGCTGGATCCAGTGACTGCCTCCTGTGGAGGGGGCAAACTGCCTCCTTCAAGGCAGGTGGAACCATCCTCTCCGGCAAAAAGGCATTTATAATTGCTTGAACCCCGCCACATGTCACCCCACCCGCAGATGGCCAGGACCAACAGGAGGAGCATAGATCTAATATACAGGTGACAGAACTCAACATCCCTAAGACTCTGTCCACTTCCCCAGGAATAACCAGATTGAACTCCACCCAGATAATCAGACGAGGCTGGACCATAGACATCTCTATAGGACCAGCACAGCTGCAGTCCAACTCCAAGGGACTTTATCTGTGAAATGTGTAGCATAATTCTCACAACAACCCTGCCAAGGATCCCCCAACCCCTCCTTACCCAGAAGGGACTGAGTAGTCCAAAACAGGGTCATCGGACAGCAGCCTGCAAATACAATAAGGGTGGAAAAATGAGGACATTTTGCTGCCCTTATCGTCACAAGGTAGTCCTTAATTCAGGCTCTTACCTGTGCTTGGTCAGACTCACTCTTCATCTTCTTCCAGTGGCTCTCTAAGTGTCTCTTGCACCACTTCATCTCCGAGAGGTGCTCTAAAAACGCTCCAGGATCTGTGTATGCAGAGAGGCCGTGTAGGGATGACCCAATCCAAATTGCCAGCCATCAAGAAGTGACTAGAGCCTCAGTCGAACCATTAATGAGAGCTTCAGGAATAACCCCAAGTGCCCTCTGGAATCCAACAGTGTCCATCTGGTGCCTAAGGCAGATCGGTCAAATAGGTCCTACCTCCCTGCGGGGGGGCGGGGGAGGCAAGAGGCAGAAAAAAACTCCAAGGCTAATAGGGAATAATCTGTCCATAAAAAGGGACAGATTGCGATTTCCCCTAACTCCAAATCATGTTGCCACTGCCCCAAGAGAAAAAAAAACAGTCTAACAGGTGACTCCTACTGTGTGTTGTGCCCTCAACTACATGGATCAGATCCGTGGTTGCCATTGAGGCCACGAACTTCTGAACTACCTCTGATTCCGGGCCAAGCTAAGGCAGGTTGAAGTTCCTCATCACCATAAGCCTGGGGAGCTCCACCAGCAGCTCTGCCAAGTTAAGCAGTTCCAGCAGGGAAGCCACTGCATAGTAAGGGTGTTAGTATGCAACAGCAGTCTCATCTGATCCCTATGACCCGACTTACAAATAGGGTTTCGCATCTGGTTATTTGCAGAGCAGCACCCCTGAAAGCCTCCAGAGTCTTCTAGATGACAATGGCCACACTCCCACCCCTTCACCGCTGTCTTGACTAATGCCACCTCTGTAACCAGCTGGGCACAATTCTCCTCCCCCCCACTTCACACCCTGCTAGATGGCTGCCTCATCCATGATTATCCAGCCTAACCTGGCATTCAGCAGCAGGCAAAACCCAGGGCCACTGAAGCTCTAATGACCAGGCCTTGCGGTAGAGCCCAGGGGGCTAGAACCCAGCACCGGTGCTAAGCACTGAGGCCACCTTCCCTGAGAGTGGCCAACCCCCGTCTCCCACCAAAGCACAATTAAGCAAACCTTGGTTTGGTATGATATATGAATTCTGTTTGAATCAAAGTAGCAAAACTACACACAAGTGTTTCCATGCTACTTCTAGATACATGAGACTAGATGGGAGATGGTTGTTGTTTCTTGGTACAAAATATGGAAGGATGGGGAAGGACATATTAGTGTTGCCGTCTTTCTGTATATCAAAGAGGCAAAATGTCAAACCAGACACTGCCATTTTTTTCATAGGATCATTATTTTGGAGGTCAATCCTGCTCCCTCATCATCTAGTCATAAACACAAAGTGAGAGCCAGTTTGGTGTAGTGGTTAAGGCACCAAGCTAGAAACCAGGAGACTGTGAGTTCTAGTCCCACCTTAGACACAAAGTCAACTGGGTGACCTGGGGCCAGTCACTTTCCCTCAGCCCTAGGAAGGAGGCAAGAGCAGAACAGTTCTGAAAATGCTGCCGAGGAAATTGGAGGG